ATAAAATTGTTTTGAAATGTTTAGATTTCAGCATTAAATAACCAACATGCCACTAAACAAAATCAACCAACAATCAGCATGGACCAACCCAGTTAGGATAAAATTCCTAACAGAGTAATAGTTAAATAGACTCAAACTACACATTAAATCCAAAATGGAGGCGATAAAAATATTAGTTTTAATAGGCATAAGTCTGGAGCCAAATGAAAACTACATTTCTCATTGGCTAAAAATGATAACCACCATTATGAAGGAGTACTTCAAATAAGTTAAGGGCAAAACAGAATTTGTCCCTGTGAGTGGACAAAAAAAAAAAAAATGAAACAAATCACAACTGGTCAGAATTTAAAAATAGAATAGAATGAATAAAAGAATCGATTTTGAGTAGGCACATATTATTACAATTCTTTCAACCGTGTGAAACTATGCCAGAATGCTAGTCAAGAATTGATCACTCTAAGCTGGGCTGAGAGCTAAGTTATGACGCCATGGGGTCCAAAAACTACAGAATAGATATCAATGAGGAAAATTCTGGTGCGCAATATATGCATATAAAATGAATTTTCTAAGCTTACTGTTTTGTTCTTTTACTATTGTGCACCAAATACGAGGCCTAAGAGACCTTCAAAGTAGAAGTTTACTAAATGAACCATTTGAACGTAAGAGAGACTTAGGTAAAAGGACACAAGTATGGAACAATCAGTTAGGATCAAACTCTCTGTGCTTTGTCCCCTCATTTTGCTCAAACTTATCAAGTAGGCTGCTCACTATTTTCATTTGCTTCTCTTGCCTTTGTTGAGCCCTATATGTATTAAATTTACACAGCCTTCTTTCTTGTGTAACCACAAATTACAAATCTTTCTGATCTTTCTTATTAGTAAGGATTCATTAGATTAGCTTACTAACCGCTAACCCACAACTTGGTACCCAAAGATACTTATTTTGCTTTTTTTTTGTCTGGCACAGAATTCACCTGGGTGGAGCAACACATAAGGGTAGTACTCACTCTACAGTCATAATAATCAGCCAACCAACTAGCCATCTAACAATTATCTCATGTCAGAATTTTTAGATTTGTATTCATTTCAAAATTGTTTTCAACTTTATATTCATATTTATATAAACTATACAACAGACCTTCCTAAATATTCTGCAAAAAGAAATTTGTGCAATCTCTCTGCCCCCACCCCTACACACATACACATACATACATACCATCCACCACAAGCTCCTTGTTTGGTCAAATAAATTCAGGTCTTTCTCTGTTTGAGGGACCTTACACATTTCTGTTAAAATCAATTATCAAATATTTTGCTACAGAAGACCAAACATGTAAAAATCTTCTTTAGAACACTGCTTGAGGTATTTTTCAAAAAAAATTCAAAAAGGTGCTTGACCAAAATGTAATAAGGAAAAAAACAGTACAAACGATAATGGCGAAATTAGACATTTTCATAGAGAAAACATTTTGCATTTATTAACTGAACATTTAGTGATATTTTTATTGAAATTAATAAATACTTTGTGTAGATTTTTCTATATCTACACATTCAGTTAAAAAATAAAAAACTTCTTGGTAATGGCTAATAGAAGAGCCTAAAGTGCTCAGACATATAGAACATTTGGATAATTTTCACATATTTTATGTCCTGAACAGAAAAGACTCATATGAACAGAAAAAAAATTAAAGAAAAATCTTAATCGCAGTACCTTGTCAGCCATCTTTAATGAAGCATGTATAAAAGAGGGATTGCTGCCCAAATATACAATACATATATCAAACCTGAGTCTTCCAATAGTTATATACATAAGTGATTTGAAAATTCCAAGTTGGGTTTTGGCTTCATATACTAAAATAAATTATTTTATATTTATATGTGTGTGGATTATTGTTTTATTTTCTTTTTGGTGTTTTGCAGAGTTCTGGTCCACGTTTGGTTCGTCGGCTGACACGATTCTTCGTGAAGACTAATCAGGAAAGAACTGTGAATGAACTGAAGAGAGTCTTTGATTCTTTAGGTTTCACATGGAAGAAAAATTCCTTAGGATTGGTAAGTAAATCTTAACCCTCAGACTTGTATGGAATGTCAACACCTTGATTATGACATTATTTTCTCATTGATCTACATGTGCTTTCCATTTTAATTGTTGCTCAGAATTCCTCATGTGTTATGTTGTTTTCTGTTATTTGGTACATATCTTTGTGATTCTGTAGCGCTAGGCCACAAGGTTTGAGGAAGAATGAGCCTCGCTAATATCTACAGGCTTCATTCACTTGAAGCCATTTTTAATCATTGTCCTGAAAAAGCAGTTTTTATACAGCTGAGCATTTAGATATTTCTGAATGAGAAATTAAAGTATTGTAGAATTATCCTAAATGATTTTAACCTGAAGTTAAAAAAGATGCAGTGATTTCTTCCTTGTCATTTTTTGTAACTAATTTTGGGATATTTTTATAATTATTGTGAAAGAGACCTTTTTAAAGGTTGTTTATACACAAACACACACAAAAAAAAATTTTCCATCATGTTTAAATGCTTTTTTTCTTCCAGATTTTGTATAAATTTAAATTGTTATAATTAGTCTCAACCTTAAAATCACTAATCACAAAAAAAGTCACTTTGTGTACTGCAATTTGTGAAGTGTAACTTTAAATTAATAAACTTTGGACCTTTTCCTGATCAGTAGTGTCTTGAATGTGTTTATGCCCTCTTAGCTTTTTTTTTGGGGGGGGTAGATTTTCCTTTCTTAAAAACAAAGGTGTGTAATTTAATATTTAAAACGCTAAAAATCTGTTTAAAATGTTTTCTTTTTTCTTTACAGTTCACGATACGTACTTTGGATCGACGGAAAATGCCTTTGGTGTTCAAAGCAGGTTTAGTTTTAATGGGTGAAAATCTCCTTGTAGAGTTCAGGCTGTCTAAGGTAAGACTAACTTTATTTTCTTTTTTCATTGCTTTTTACACAAAATTTATTTTTCAGAAGAGTCTGTGAAAACTTTTACCAAATTAATATTTGTAAAAAGCCTTGGTTATTGCATGTATGTTCCATTTTGTACATTCTTGGATAGAATATTTTTCCAAGTGGGATATTTTCAGAATTTAACCTAATTCAAAATTAAGTTAGTGGGTTTAAATAATCCAACAAAGGATGAAATGTTGATTTTTGTTGTTGTTGGCATCTTATCCCTGTAATTTAATGTAATTTTAATTTAATTCAGTGTATCCTAAGCCCTACCAATGGAAATGTATGTAAATGGAAATATATCTCATCTTAGAAGACCTTTTTAAACTGAAGGTAGGAGTGTTGTGCAGCAAGCATTCCAAGTGGAGAGAGACACATGCCTGCCTTGAAATACAAAAATATTCTACTACTTCTTCCACCAAGCAATCCTACCAATACTTGTCGTATGTTAAGATATATTTTTTTTTGTGTTGTGATGATCAATATATGCATGAATTGCACTAAGTTTCAATAAGTGTCAAGTTAATCTATGAGAGAGTGTGATGGTTTGGTGACCACTGAAAGAATGAGTGTTGAATATGAAGTTTTGGGGAGGGAACAACAATTTATAAACTTTTCTTCTTCTTTGTCCCTGCTTTCTTTTTTCTTTGCCTTTGTCCCTGCTTTCTTTTTTCTTTTCCTTTGTCCCTGCTTTCTTTTTTCTTTTCCTTTGTCCCTGCTTTCTTTTTTCTTTTCCTTTGTCCCTGCTTTCTTTTTTCTTTTCCTTTGTCCCTGCTTTCTTTTTTCTTTTTCTTTTTTCCTTTGTCCCTCCTTTCTCCTGCTTTTTTTTTTCTTTTCTTCTTTGTCCCTTCTTCTTCTTTCTCCTGCTCTTTTTATTTTCTTTTCTTTTTTCTCCCTTTCTTTTATTTTCCTTCTTCTTTCTCCCTGCTCTCTTTTTTTTTCTCCTTTCTCCCTGCTCTCTTTTATTTTCTTCTTCTTCTTTCTCCCTGCTCTCTTTTATTTTCTTCTTCTTCTTTCTCCCTGCTCTCTTTTATTTTCTTCTTCTTCTTTCTCCCTGCTCTTTGAGAGAGTGTGATGGTTTGATTGATGATCAATGAAAGAATTTATATGTGTTTTGATTATTAATGTTGGATAAGAATTCTTTGGTAGAAGACAAGAATTTATAAAGTCTTTTTTTCTTTCTCTATCTCCCTAACCTTTTCCAATCATCTCTTTCTATCCTATTTCAGGCATAATGATTTTCATAATGATCCAGAAATATAATGTTTGCTTTTTCTTTAATCACTATATAAACACTTTTTTTTCTCTTTTTTTTTCTTTTTTTTTTTTTTTTTCTTACATTTTTCAGGGTGATGGCATCCAATTCAAGAGAAATTTTGTGAAGATACGTAATTCTTTGCAACCCGTAATCCGTTCTGTTCCTACTGTGACTGCTTGGGCCAGCATCCCTGCATCCATGGCAACAAATGATGAAGAAAGCACCCAAAATAATCCCGAAAAAAATTGTAATTTAATAACTTAGAAAAAGAACAGATTTTCTCTGTTCCCTTTATTTTCTTATCTACTGACAAATTTTAAATGTGGGCGTCTGTTACTCTTATCTTGTTATTTTTGTGTTTAGTGTTTCATCTTTAATCTTCTTAATCTAAATCACTTTACTGTTTTTTTTCTCTCTCTCTCTCTCTCATTTGTTTTTCTTTCTTCATATCTACCTGTCTGGTTTCTCCTTCTCTCTTTCTGTCTCTGTCTGGTTTCTCATAGTTTTCGTTTCTCTCTCTCTCTCTCTCTCTCTCTGTGGTTGGCTTTTCCTTGACTATTTCTTTATTTCTCTTTCTTTCCTTTTTTTAATTTGTTTTATTTCTCTAATTCTCTCAGTAACTTTGCTACTTTTTCCTTTTGGTGACTCTCTTGCTTCATTCATATTTGATTTTGTTTCTTTTTATCTCTCTACCTGGTTTCTCTTTTTTCTCTGTCTCTCTCTCTCTCTCTTGTCTCCTTTATCCTTGTATTTATTGTTCTCTCTTTCTCTTGCCTGACTAATTTGTCATTGTCTTTATTTTTATCTCTCTCATTCTCTATTTGACTATTTCTCTCTCTCTACTCATCTGTTTGATTTCTCCTTGTCTTTATTTCTCTTTCTCCTCCACTTTATTTTCTCTCTCATTTCACCTTCTCTTTATTTTCTCTCTCTATTGCTCACCTTTCATAACTTGTTCTCCTACTCTCTCCTAGTATTTTTCTTGTTTCTCTCTGATTTACTCTTCCTTCTTCTATAGCTCTACTACCTCTACCATTTCTGTCTCCTCTTCCTAAGTCTCTCTCTCTCTCTCACCCACACCCACTCGTAAGAATATCTGATGTATTTATTTTTTTATTTAGGAAATGAAAGTATCAAATAAAAGCTTCATAAAAAAAATTTACCTGCATATAGGTTTTAATTTGTTTTTATTTGATTAAAGTTGAGTTGTATTGACACTACAGAAATCAAGACTTTGCCCAGGTTCTCTGTTGTAACCCACAATTCAACCCCACTGCAGGAGCTCACAATCTCAGACTACTAACAGCCAAACATGACCACTAAAATCACCACAGTTATGGGCTCAGCATCTATAACAGATGGGTTTCCCTGTGGCAGAGACGCAAAATACAAGGACCCTGATCTCCTGTATATGTGCTTCCATGTACCAATTATCAAAAGTACTGCACTGATTTTCACTCTCTGTTGTCCTCTGTATGATGGGGCACTAATTTTCAACCAAATATCTGATTGGATTGATACTATCCTCACTTAAATTCCCTCAGTTAGATTTCATATCTGGGGTGACTTCAATATTCACCACAAAGAGTGGTTAATCTACTTGAACAACACTGATGAAGAAGGTAGATACTTCAGTGGCTTCTGCATCACCTATGAACCAACACAGATCATTGAAAACCCCACCTGCATTCCTGATGCAACAGGACATCAGGCAAACCTCTTCTTTACATCCTGCCCTTAAAGATGCTTTGCAGAAGTTTGAAAAAGCCATCCCTTGATGTGCCGTTCCATAGAATGATTTTTCAAAATGCAAAGGCTGAGTGGGACAACTTCAGATCTCATATGGTAGAAGCTCTTTTTTTTCAACCTTCTTCAAACATACTGCTTCCAAAACTGCTGCCCTCATCTCAGAATGGATCTTTTCTGGAGTGTAGAGTTTTATACTCTCCAAAAACCCCAACAAAAAACAAAGTCCCAGTTCACCACTACTACAATATCACTATGAGTGGTGTAGCTGAACACTTGATGCATTCAGAATTGCCTATAATCACTGCAAAAAGGTTCTAGAAAAAGCAAAGTGTAGCTATATACAATCAGTTCAGGTCATGGTTGAAAACAATCAAATTGGATCTGAGGAATATCAACCCAGAATTATCCCCAATCTTCGAAATTATTTAACTGCAGTTTGAAGGAGAAATCTTTTCCCAAGTCCGTGGAAGGTGTCAAGTGAGTTTCCAGTTTTCAAGAACATGGGTTAGCACTCATTCCCCTCACAGAATTTTGAAGGAGAAATCTTTTCCCAAGTCCGTGGAAGGTGTCAAGTGAGTTTCCAGTTTTCAAGAACATGGGTGAGCACTCATTCCCCTCACAGAATTTTGAAGGAGAAATCTTTTCCCAAGTCCGTGGAAGGTCCATGGTGTCCAGTTTTCAAGAACATGGGTGAGCACTGTCCAGAATTTTGAAGGAGAAATCACAAGTCCGGGAAGGTGTCACCAGTTTTCAAGAACATTCTCCCCCTCACAGAATAAAGAAATCTTTTTCCCAAGTCCATGGAAGGTGTCATTAGCAAACACAGGGGAGCTTTTCTCCTCACAGAATAAACCCATCAGTGTCATTAGCAAAGCTTTTTGAGGCTACAGTCAACAAAAAGTTGTTGATCACCTAAACAGAAACAACCTCTTGAACGACAAGCAATATGGGTTTTGATTGGCCCAATCCAGTACTGTCTTAACTGCCATTACTTTCAAAATCAATGAGACACTTAGAACACAAAAACATCTCAAGAACTATTGCATTAGATATTTCAAAAGCCTTTGGCAAGTTGTGGCATAAAGGATTACTTCACAAGTTTTCTAGCTATGAAATCACTATAAGAGTCTTTTCAGTCATAAAGTCCGTCCTAACAAGTAGATCCAGAAGGTAGTTGTCAACAGCCAGTCCTCTGAGGGCCTAGCAATCAACACAGGGGTTGCTTTTCAGACCAACCTTTGTTTTTTACTTTACATAAATGGTCTGCGTAAGAGTATATTTATGCTGATGGTACAACAATATATTGGTACACCTCCAAAAATCTAAGACAACCAGAGATTGGCAGCTAATCTTTGCACTGACCTAGCTCTAACATGGGGTGGGGGGAGACTGGCTGCTTACATTCAATGCATTGAAAGCCAAACTAGTTACATTTCCTCATCACAGATCAGACCTTGAACTATCACTAATCTTAATGAACAGATGTTCCTTCAGAGAGACCCCATGTCTTGAGTGCCTTTTGGAACTTAAACTCAACCCAGACCTCAAGTGAAACTCATACATATGATCCATCGCTAAGTAAACATCAACAAAATGCAATACTCGCCAACGGCATGAAGTAGGTAAACCACTGCTAGTGGTGGACTACTTAGACAGCACATTACCCACACTTACAATAGTGACCAACGTATTTATGAGGTTTGGGACATACCCTTTAGTGTTCATAGGTGTGATATATAGAAAGAAGAGAAAGAGAAGAGGAGAAGAGTGTTACTGAATGAGTAATAACCAAAAAGGAGGTTGGAAATAATAAAATGGTAATCTTTGTAACATCAACAAAATACACTACTCGCCAGCGCCGTGAAGTAGGTAAACCACTGCTAGTGGTGGACTACATAGACAGCATATTACCCTCACTTACAATAGTGTCCAACATATTTATGAGGATTGGAACATATCTATTAGTGTTCATAGATATGATATAAAACAGTTTCCTGTACCAATCCAGTAAGCACCTGACTCTCCTTTTACCTTTACAAGAGCCAGATCAGGCCAGAAATAGAGTACTGCTGCCATATATGGGCAGGAGTTTTTCACTGTCCACTCTTTATCCAAAAGAATCTCCTAATCCTTGTGGTTGACAAATTATTTTCAATTCTGCAGCCTCCTTCTTGCGTACAAAACACTGCAAGACTCTCACTGCTATTTCCATGGAAAGTGCTCAGATGAATTAGATTCCTTAGTTTGACTATACCTTTTCAACTTCAAAATGATAATAATCAATTTCAAAATGGACTTATTTTCAAGTAAAAAAATTAATCAACTCCAAATTAGATCAATCAACTTCAAAATGGAACAATCAACTTCAAATTGAGAAAATGTCAAAAACCTAAAAACAATCAACTTCAAAATGAGAATAAACAACTTCAAATTGAGATATTTTTTTGGTAAATTGAAATATTAGATGTATTAGTAATAATGGATTAATTCATCATAAAATTAAAAGAGGTTCTTTCAAAAAAGAGGATGCGAAAGAATGGACCATGGAGTGCCTTAGAAAGGCAAATGAAATTTGTGAAAGGGGAGTTGTCTTAGTTATTGATAACGCCCCTTGCCATACTTCAATTGAAGAAGTTGTGGAGGAGGATGAATTTAGGCAACACCAAATTTTCAGACTTGCCCCCTATAGTCCGATGTTAAATCCCATTGAAAAGGTTTGGTCAGTCATTAAAGCTGACGTAAAAAGAAGTATGGCAGATTCAATTGTTGGGATTTTAAGAGATGATGGCCAGGGATCTTTAACTACTAAAGAATTCCACCTCAGCAAGTTAGAAGGGATGATCTCTGAGGCAATTAATAATATTTCCCCTGAGACTTGCACTAACTTCGTATCTGGAATACAGAGATTATTTCCCTCTGTAATTAACTTAGATGATGTAATCTTTTAAATAAATTTCTTAGGAACGTTTATATTTTTTTTATATCCCTTTTAAGTAAAAATAAAAGAATAAATATTAAATTTATTAGTATTATATTAATTCTCAATTTGAAGTTGATTATTTCTCATTTTGAAGTTGTTTTCCATTTTGAAGTTGATTAATCCATTTTGGAGTTGATTAATTTTTTTTTACCTGAAAATAAGTCCATTTTGAAGTTGATTATTATCATTTTGAAATTAAAAAGGTATAGATCTGATCTTCACAGCTAAGCCCTGTCATGACATGCACATTGTAATGAACCATTCTTTTCATGTTCCATTGGGAAGGTGTAATATCCACTCAAGCAGCTTCTTCCCATGAACCACTACTTTGTGGTACAGACTCCCAAGAGGTTGCTTCCCTGATCACCACTACAATCTTAACATGTTCAAATCTAGAGTTAACCATCATCTTCCCCACATAAACCATGCCTCTTATTCTGTATCACTCTACCTTGAGTGGCTCCCCAGTTTTGTATAGGGTGAACATCAATGTAAAAAAAAAAAAAAAATGTCATCAAAAATTTGTTCTTTGATTCTCAAATTTCAAATCTAAATTTGTCCATTTAAAATACATTTATTAGAAAATATATTCAGTTTAGATAGGGGAGTCATAAAAATGACTTTAACCCACCCACCCTTTTCCTGTTAATTAGAGGTTAGCCATCTCAACACAGGTATCCATGAGTGTGTATGAACACCATGCATGTATATTTTTATTCAATGACAGGCTGAAGAATATTTCTATAAAAATTTAAAAAATCTTTAAAAAAAATAATTTTCTTTATTACAGAATAATTTCTCTCTACTTTGAGTGAGCCCTCTGGCCTTGTTCAGAGTGAACCCCTACTGTAAAAAAAAAAAAAAATTTTAAATTCAGAAATATTCAATAAAATCTAAATCTGAAAATTTTATTGGGATGGTGGGAGCAAAGGTTAAACAAGTTGTACATCTTTTCTCCTCTTTCAGCTTCTGCTATTTTTAATCAAGCTGTCAATGTAAGTTTAAAAAAAAATGGTTATTTTTATTTTATTTCACTGCCATGCTCATGT